CCCCAGCGAGATGGATTGGCACAGTGGCAGCATCAATGGGCTCAAGCGTGGCAATTGTGAGGTTGGCCCAGGATTGGGCAGTATTTTGTTCTGTTTTGCATAAGGTCTCTATGAGTCAGTACAAACTCAATGGCACCTAACAACAACAATAACAACAACATTTTTTGGTATAAAACTTTTTTGGAAATTAAGACATGAGCAAAAAGAAATTTGAATCATTAACTTATCATTAGTGACTAAATGTTGCTAAATATAAAATAAAGACCAGTGACAGTAATAGGGAAGTTTAGAGTAAGCATTTAGGGTAATTGTAATAGATAATTTCTGAAAGAATAAAAATTTTAGAATACTGTCTTAGTTATCTAATGCTGTTATAGCAAAAATACCACACGTGGTTGGCTGAAGCCGAAATTTATTCTCTCATAGCTAGAAGTCAGAATTCAGAGTATTGTTCATAAGTGCGTAAGTTGGTTCCGACTCATAGCGACCCTTTATAGGGTTTCCGAGGAAGGGCTGCTGAGGTTGAACTACTGAAGCTGTGGTTCAAAATGACCTTGAGGTCCAGTGCTTGTCTTACAGCACCTGACCATCTGAAGACATGTCCTGTCTCCTTTCAACATCAGTAGATGCAGCCTTCCTTGAAGATCTCTCTGTGTCTTGGCATTAATCTTCCCCAGGATCTAAGGTCCAAGAAGGAAGCACCCCACTCTTGGTGTTTTCTTTCCTGGTGCTAGTAAGTCCTTCCTTCTCTGCTCACCTCTCCTTTTATCTTTGTAAAAAATGTTGCAGACCACATCCCTGGGAAACTCCCCTGCATCAGGGTTGTATTGCAAACCAGTGTAGAAGAATTGATGCATTTGAGTTATGGGGTTAGGGAAGAATATTAAAAGCACCATGGACTCCCAGCAGAACAAAGAAATCTGTCTTGGAAAAAGTACAGTCAGAAAGCTCCTTAGAATTAGACGCCAGGATGGGAAGACAGTCTCTCATACTGAGAATCATGACCCAGTCAAGTTGACACATAATTTGTGGGACACAACTCAATCTATCACAGCATCTTTGATCATAAAGAATATCAACGAGTTTTGCACAGATTGCGATAGATGAGAGGTTGTAAAAGACAGTAGATGGGGACTTTAGACCCAGAGAGGGAGAGGGGCTGTGTGCTGATGACTGGGGGGCAGGCTTGCAGGGTATACCCTTTGGTTGGTTGATGATGCATGGAGGGGATTGGAACCATGGCAACGAAATGATATACGATAGGATGAATGTAAAATTAATGTTCTCCCATGTAAACTATCACATAATTCACAATAAAGCATTAAAAAGAGAGAGGAGAAAAAGACAGCATAGAAATAGTCTTGGAATACTGTGGAGACCAACAAAAAGAAACTGATGTTTTCTTAAGAGGGCAGATACTTGGGGTTGGTGAGGGAGAAGAGCTCACAGGAAGGCACAAATAGAACCAGAACGGACAAAGCAGAAATATCTGTGTAATTTATAAGGCTCCAAAGAAAGAAGAACTTAGAACTTAGCATGATTTCTTTGCCAGAAGTGTTGGAGAGGGGGAGGGGAGAACACAAGACTTGGTGGGGGCTTAGAAGGTAGAAACTGAGGTTCAGCGGGGTCCGAGATAGGAGAGCTGATTTGTTGGGAGAATGAAGCAAATTCAGAGATGTTTGGAGATAGGCACCAAAGGTTGGTCTGGAAAGGAAGCATTTCGGGGAGATAGGCGGCTACAGGTTAAAGGAAGGAAGAAAACTCTCAGAGGTGGGGAGTTTTTAAAGGATCTTCTTGCTAGGCACGTTTCCATTTTACGTTTGGACGCAAGGGGGACTAAAAAGGAGAGCAAAGAAGTGGGCTTTAGGGAGAGGTCACCGGCCTAGGCGATTCCTCTTCCCGCGCCCAGAACCCACTCGCCTGCCGCTCCTGGCTCCGCCCGTGACTCCGCCCCGGGGCCGCCCCTGTCCGTGGCCCCACCTAGGGCTTGCGCGGTCGAGTCCCAGGTCCCGCCCCCTTAGCGCGCCATCATTACGCGCCTCTGCGCTCTGTGTTAGTGGGCATGACTGGCTCGGCGGTGCGCCCTATGTCATCAGTAGGTCTAACGATGGAGTCAGCCGGTGGTTTGTAACTTAGCCGACAAAGCTTCCGACTCGACGCTGGTCCTGATGGCTGCTGCGGCGGCGCTGGCAGCGGCCGATACCCCTCCAGCGGTGCCTCAAGCGGCAGGCACTGGAGGGCCCACAGCCCGCAGAGACTTCTACTGGCTACGCTCCTTCCTGGCTGGAGGTGGGTGTCCGCCGGGAGGACCGGGCTGCTTGCTGCCGGTGAGGGCGGGATCCAAGGCATACTGAGCGCCGGAGGCCGCGATGATAGTCCTGCACTCTGGCTGCTGCGTTGCCCAGCCAATGCTTACCTTCACCTACCGTGTTGTTAGATGCCGTCGAGTCGGTTCTGACAACTGAATGAACCACTGCCGGATTGTGCGTCTTCCTCCAGTCTTTGCTATGTTTGACCTGCTGTAACCCCTTTCTAATACCTGGAGAAAAAGGGCCTCGGGCTCTCGGGGAGCCGCAAAGGGGTGAGGGCAGTGGTGAAAGGGCTGTACCAGGAACCCATTCTCCTGGCCTGGACGTTATTGTTAGATGCCTTGGCGTTCCGACACTTAGTGGCCCTCTGTATAAAAGCATAAAACACTGCCTGACGGCTCTGCTTCTTCCTCACAATCGTTTCTGTGTTCGAGACCATTGTTAGAACCACTCTGTTACTTCATTTGGTTCAGGGTCTTCCTCTTTTTCGCTGACCCCCCACTTTACCAGCCATGATGCCTTCCGAGACTGGTGCCTTCTGATAACATTGCAAAAGTACGTGAGATACGCCATCCTTGCTTTTAAGAAGCATTTTGACTGTATTCCCAGACGGATTTATTCATTCTTCTGACAGTCCGTGATATATTTCATATTTTTTGCCTACACCTTAGTTCAAATGTATAAATTCTTCTCCAGTCTTTCTTATTCATTGTCCAGCTTTTGCATGCTTGTGGGGCGATTGAAAATACCATGACTTGGATCAGGTGCACCTTAGTTCTCAAAGTGACAGTTTTTGCTTTTTAAAAAGATAAAGAGATCTTTTGTAGCAGATTTGCCCAATGCAATAAGGCATGTGATTTCTTGACTGCTGCTTGCATAAGGAATCCTTAAAACACTCCGAGAATTGAGTGACATACGTTGGGCTCCTTTTTCTTTATAAAGACTATGGGTGACGAGTAAAATTGGGTCTTGCTGTTTGCTTAAAGAAAAACAAATATTGAAAGTCAGCCTTTTAAAGATGACTGGGAAATTGTGCAAAACTGTCTACAACTAGGACTGGTTCCAGTGATTCTTGTAAACTCCCACTTGTTGGCAAGTATGTGGTGCCAAAGACTCATGTCTCTAGAGTATTTCCTCTTTCTTCACATAAACTTGTATTTCAGTTTCTACTCTTCCTCAATTATCTAGGGCTACTATTGCAGAAATGCAAGTGGCTGGCTTCAGCAAACAGAAAGTTATTTTCTCACAGTGTGGGAAGTTGCTGTTGTTGTTGTTAAATACCATTAAGTCCGTTCCAACTCAGAGACCCTGTAGATGGTTTATGAAGAACAACTGCCGGTTTGAACTGTTGACCTTATGGGTTAGCAGTCCAGTGCTTATCTTACAGCACCACACCAGGAAGTCCAAGTTCAGAGCTCTGGCTCTGGTGAAAGGTCCATGCCTTCTTTCTGCATCTGTAGTGCCAGCATTTCCTTGAAAATCTCCATGTGTCTTGGCATCTACCTCTCCTTGGGTATAGGAGCTTCACAGTGCAGGGATCCCATGTTCAAAGGATAGACTCTACTCCTGACTCTCCTTTTTTGGTGATAGGTAGACCCCACTTCTCTGCTCACTTTTCTCTCCTTTTATCACTTGTAAGATAAAAAATATTGCATGCCACACCCCTGGGAAGCTCCCTTACATAAGGATCAGGGTCTGATTAAGGTTGTTGTTACTTTATGCCTTTGTGTCAGTTCTGACTCATAGTGACCCCTTGCACAACAAAAGAAAACAAAACACTGCCTGGTATTTTGCCATCCTCACAATTATTGTATTTGAGCCCATAGCTGCTGCCACTGTGTCAGTCCATCTTGTTGGCATCTTCTTCTTTTTCATTGACCTTCTGCTTTACCAAGTATGATTTTTTTTGGGGGGGACTGGTCCCTCCTGATAGCAAGTCCGAAGTATGGAGAGACAAAGTCTCACCATCCTGGCTTCTAAGGAGCATTCTGGCTGTACTTCTTCCAAGACAGATTTGTTTGTTCTTCTGACAGTTCTTGGTACTTTTCATATTCTTCACCACCACCATAATTCAAAAACATCAATTCTTCTATGATTTTCCTTATTCATTGTCCAACTTTCACTTGCATGTGAGGCATGACTTTGGTCAGGTGACCTTAATCTTCAAACTGATTATCTTTGCTTTCTAACAATTTTAGGAGGTTGCTTGCAGCAGATTTGCTTAATGCAGTAAGTCGTTTGGTTTTTTTTTGACTGATACTTCCATGGGTGTTGATTGTGGGTCCAAGCAAAGTGAAGCCTTTAATCTTATCTCCACTTATCATGATGGTATTTACTTGTCCAGCTGTGAGGATTTTTGTTTTCTTTACATTGAGGCTCAAACCTCAAAGGCTATCGTCTTTGAGTTTGATCAGTAAGTATTAAGTCCTCTTTGTTCCCAGCAAACAAGGCTATGTCATCTGCATATTGCAGGTTGTTAATCCTGATGTCCTTTTCTTCTTCATATAATCCAGTTTCTTGGATTATTTGCTCAGCATACAGATTAAGTATGGTAAAGGGATGTAATGCTGGCACATGCATTTCTGGATTTTAAACTATTTAGTATCCCCTTTTGTTGTAGCATCCCTTTCTGTTATAACAACGGCCTCGGTCTATGTACAGATTGCTTACAAGCACAATGAAGTGTTCTCTATGGCACTTAACAACAACATGTTTGGAATACGTCAGAGAGCAAAGCAAGGAATCCTGCCCTCATAGAGTTCACATTGGTTAGAGAGTTGTGGGGAGAAAGACAATACATAAAATGAAAAAGTAAACTATGTGGGGGTTATAGGTCCTGACCCCTTAGTTGAAATTCTGGGTATAACTTTTGACTTCCTCTAAATTTAACTACTAAATAGCTACTGTTGACCAAAAGCATTACTGATAACATAGACAGTCAACACATATTTTTTATCGTATATACATTATATCCACCCCTCCTCTGTCAGTTTGATGTGGTGGCTTGCTTATTGCTGTGAATCTGGAAGCTATGCGATTGGGTCATTTACATACCAGCAGGCTCAACCCTGGTGGACAGGTTTCAGCTGAGTTTCCAGACAACAACACACTAGAAAGAAGGAGAGATGGACTACTTCCAAATACTTAGTCACTGAAAGCCTTATGAATAGAGGTGGGACATAGTCAGGTAGCACAAGACTGTTGACTGTTGAAATATGATGAAGAGCACCAGAATATTGTCAGATATAGTGCCTGAAGATGAGCCCCTCAGGTTGGAAGGCACTCAAAATACAGCTGGGGAAAAGCTGTCTCTTCGAAGTAGAGGTGATCATGATGATGTGAATGGAGTAAAGCCTTTAGAACCTTCATTTGCTCATGGCATACAGCTCCAAATGAAGAGAAACAGCAGCAAACATCCATTAATAATTGGAACATGGAATGTATGAAGTAAAAATCTAGGAAAATTGGAAATTGTAGAAAATGAAATGGAACGTATAAATATCGATATCCTAAGCATTGGTTTATAGATGGGGAATTTGCAGGAGAATCCAGAAATTCATTATTTTCTGGATCAAGACACTCAGCTGTTCCAGGAGCCGCCATCTTGGGAAAGCTTATCTTGATTGTACCCGGATTGATAGGATTAAGAGAGACCATCTTGATTATATCTTATATATTGATTATACCAGGATTGATAGGATTAGGAAAGAACATCTTGATTGTATCTTGATTATATCTTATATGTATCTTGATTTTTTCAGGATTGTATCAAGATTGACATCGAAATTTAAAGAGACAGTATAGACATAAAACCAAACGGCCACCACTCATCTGTCTGTCGTGCTGTGGTGGTTTGAGTTGCTGTGATTCTGAGGGCTATGCCACCGGTGTTTTAAATAACCAGCAGGGTCACCCATGGTGGACAGGTGGTAGGTCAAAAAGTATTGCTACAAAATCCTAGAAACTTTTATTAAGCAAAAATATGAAAATGTGAAACTCTCGTTTCTCAACATTTCCACCTATGTCTATAAACATCTGAAGGTGGTGTTTTCATCTCTCTAACCCTTCTGTGAAGAATTCTGCACTCTTTGATTTTATATCTTGTCAAAACCTCAGTTTCGACATTTTTGAGGGACTCAAATTGAGTTCCTTCTAAATGTTCTTTGCATTTTGAGAAAGAAAAGAAGTCTGAAGATGCAAGGTCAGTGCTGTGGGATGGGTGGGGTAATGTTTCCCAAAGAAATTCTCCCAGGACAGCTGTGCTAACCTGGAAGCGCAAGCAGGTGCATTGTTATGATGGAAAGAAAGTTCCTCACACAACTTTCTTGGCCTTTTCCTTGACAATGCAGTTTTCCATTAAAAACAAACAAACACAAAACTCCTTTATAACGAGCACCCATAATCGTCCTGTGTCCTTACAAAAAATTGGTTTGAAATTACAAAAAGCATTCACCATATTCAGTTTAGCTGACCCAGCAGATCCCCTCAGAAGCCATTATTTTGATTTGACCTTTTTTTTAAGGCACACTAATAAGACTAAGACAATGTATTAGGGAGAGACCTAGTATGCAGCCATGCATTCATCACCAAGATAGGTGGAAACACATTCTGCTTGGAATAAATCAGTGCATGTGTGAACTGGAACCCTAATAGCAATATTAATTGACTTACCCTCCTATTGTGTGTGTGTATGAATGTACACATACACAA